TGTGGCTCAACGTCTGTGAGTTTCGCTGGTGTCGCGAGCTTTGATTTCTCCTCCCTCTCGAGGGTGTGAGGACATTTCTCGTCGTTTATTAGAGACGATTTCTCTCCCGTTTCCTTTCCAAATTTTCCTTCATTCCACAATCCCTGTCTGTATGCCTGTGTGAGAAGGTATGAGTCCTGTCCTGCCTTCTCTGCAGTTTTTGCATCGTGTTTGCCTTCGTTACTTTTTATCCAGTCAATTAGTTTCCCCCAAGGTGTGTTCGTGTTATCGATACAGCTCCCTTCCCATATGTCTCTCTGACTGTACTGCTTTGTAACAGATTGGTCGGTACGTTTAAATACGAGCTCCCCGTATCCCGTAACCCATTCAAATATTGTTCTTAATCCTAGCATCTTAAGTATGGCAAGAGTTACCTTAATATTTCTTTTCAGAGTGCATATAAACAATTGTATCACAGGATGCGTCAGTTCAACTCGAGCAAATAATCTCAGCCCAGCTGTCTTTGTTATACTCTGCTACTCTGGTATTTCCCTTCAGAGCGCGTTTTGTTTGTATACCCCCGTTTACAATCACAAGGCAACGTTAGTTCACAACACTTTGATTAACACATCAGTGATTCGTTCCTGAATTCATGCATAAACTGTCTGCGAGAGATCCCGGAAGACGAGCCCCCATTATGTTGTATATGTGGGTTAAGAAAATTTGTTATGTTGTATGCGTGCGTGGGTGAAATTATTATGTTGTATATGTGGGTTATGAATATTCAGTGGAAATAATAATTAAATGAAATTTGGCCAAATGTGTAATTATCCGGAAATATGTTAATTTATGTAATTACGCACATTTTAATTATGCCAATTCGAGAGGTAATCGTATTAATTATGCGAGTGGGTGTAATTATGATAACGCAAGTCGTTATGATAACCAGACCCCGGTTCACCCCGTTATCGCTTTAACATTTACTGAGTATGTATTAGTGTGTTTATTAAGGTCACCAAGTTCAAATCTCAACGCAGAAGCAGGTCTTATGCATAGATTTCAGGAAAGAATCACACAACCACTTCTGTATTGATCAATTTATTACTAATTCAACCTTAACTATGATATAATATGCGAACTCTCAATCCCGGAACGTCAACACGGCATCAATACAGTATCATCAACGATTGTCTGATTTCACTTTGACAACTGCACATGGATCCCGCATAACGCGATGGTTGTTAGTGAGAGAGAGAGTCGTTAAAACACGCAAATACTATGCTAAGAAAACCTTAATGTTAATGAATGATTATACTCAATATTGTTCATAACGCGATGGTTGTTAGTGAGGGAAAGAGTCGTTGAAATATGCAAATACTATGCTAAGAAAACCTTAACGCTAATGAATGATTATACTCAATATTGTTCATGCAGTACCACACTCCTTGTTGACCATACGCAACCCTTATCACGTTGTTAACACCTTGGGTCACGGGACAGTTGAATATTCTGTAGAGGATGCGAGTACGTGCGGCGATTATGACTGAAAGATACTTGAAAGATTATACGGCGATAAAACACAATCAAAAACAGTTATTATTCTTAAAGGCACCAATCTCAACAGATACATCGGCAGGTTATCTGACAACAGAACGGCCCGGAGTAAGGGCCTGCGACGGTGCTCCTTTTCCGAAGCTCGTTATCTTATACCAAGTTTACTAATTGGGGACCAGATCACCTGATAAGGATCCGGTGGGCCACCACTCCCCACGTGAGCGTGGCTCGGCGGAAGGAGGTGCCAAGAATCAGTTCGTATTGATGGATCTGTTGGGAATTTATGCGATTAAGAGTACAGCCCACTAAATATTAAAGATAAAAATTGAAAATACTCTTATAAACGACGGAGGGCCATCCCTCGGTCTCGTTGTGATGCTTTCCAGCCACGGATGGCTTATGGGTTCGAGTGTTTTTGAGTGGTAAGAGTTGTCTTGAATAGTCAGTGTTCGGAGTCGATTCTTTAGGTCAAACAGACGCCTGGTGGTCGTGTGGTGAGGGGGCGGTGCGCGTCATACGTATCAGTTGATCCCCTGTCACCGTGGCGAACTGGTTCGGATGCCCGTTGATACGCTGTCGCAGTTCGGAACCCGGTCGGTAGGTGGCGCCCACAACTCGCTCGTAGCGTGCAGCTCTGGGTTGTCGCCGATCCGCGATGCTCACCACTCCGGTGGCAGCAGAGACCCCCGATTCGGCAGAGGTTGACGAGCTGAAGATGAGTCGAGCCGAACCGCTGGTCGCAGCTCGCTCCTGAGTCGACCCTCCCGGTTGAGCTCGCTCCTGGGTCGACCCGCTGGTCGCCCTCGCTCCTGAGTCGACCCTCTGGTCGCACTCCTGAGTGGACCCGCTGGTCGCACTCCTGAGTGGACCCACTCTGGTCGCACTCGTTCCTGAGTCGACCCTCCCGTCGCACTCCTGAGTGGACCCTCTCGTCGCACTCGTTCCTGAGTCGACCCTCCCGGTCGAGCTTCTGAGTGGACCCTCCCGTCGCACTCGTTCCTGAGTCGACCCTCCCGTCGCACTGATTTCCAATGCTCAGGATCCTTTACTTTATGCCGAAAATTCCCCCTGGATCCCGCCCACAAGGCGGGACTTCTTTCGATTTTTTTTTGTGTCAGGATCTGTCCGTAGGCAGGTGTGTCCATGTGTGTGTCCGTACGTCCGTGTGTCCTTGTGTGCATCACTGACGGTATATTCCGTTGTCACACTCCCTCCATAAAACCCACGAGCAAACAATCAGATGTTACAAATTGCCTCGAGGTCGTCTCTCTGTCTGGGCGCAACATTATCTCCTGTCTGGCCTTCCCCATGAACCCAAAACACAGACGTCACAAATGTCTCATAGGCGTCTTTGTTCGCACCACCTGGAGGGAGGGGCAACGCTCTCTCCGACCCGGCGCACAAAGAAATGGCCAAAAGTTTTAAGTTAACATTTGTCCCTTACTATTTCACAGCCATGATTCCGCATGTAACCCAAGGTCTGTCGTTTCCCATCGTGGTGCCCGACCCAAGTGGAGGCGTCTCCCCGAGCGTACACACACTCCCATCCCGCGCTGCGGGGATACAAAGACGGCCGGGATCTCCCTTTCTCTCCGACCCTGGGTTTAACATCGTTTTTTATTATGTATTTATATTCGACCTGGTGGTGATTCATCCCGTTATCCTGGCTTTTCATAAGTTTTACTTTTGTCTTTTCATGCATATGCTTCGGGTCGAGTTGTATAGAAAGCATTAAAGTATGGAAATAACATTTCATATTGACTTAATGATGGTGATGGTTCAGTAGGCGTACTTGTGACCTGGTTTAATTGGAGTGGGTGTGAATATCAAACTTTAGCCTACCCTGTTGTTAAATTCCGACTTTAACGTTACTTTAATAGCAATACAGAATAATTGAGCTTTTTGTCTTAACTAGGCGAACGCGAACTTCTGGTGACCCCCGCAGCCGTGTTATTTAGCTGGGTCTGCCCGCCTTGAGAGATATACAACACTTTTTTTAAATCAGCTCTCCCCTGTCCCTCCAACCTTCTGCTCTGGGAATGTTATTCTTAATTTCAGGTCCAAGGCCTCTTTGGGTTTATCTTTGTTTCCTCAGCTGCAGGAGAACAAGGCGTGCTTCTACCTCCCTTTCTGTGTGCACGTGTTCTAATTAGCTCGGAATCCCTAAACACACAATCAGTGATGATTCCTGGCTTTCTGTGGTTGTGACTTAGACAAAGGCGCCTCTGCTTCCTTTCACTGCCTTTGCCTTGAAGCAAGGTTGCAAATTCTGTCATCCTAGCCCTCCTCTCGTTCATTACTTAACAACACCTGGTGTTTTGCAGTTTGGTGCGCTTTGGTGTGTTTCACTCATTAAAAAAACAAGTAAAAAGATAATATATAAAAATCATCAAATATTATTAATCTCAATTATGGAAGAAGGGTTAGGATACAACACAGTCTATTGATTTCTTTAGGAGTCGATGCGCCTCTGCGCAAGTCCGGATAGAAACCAGTTTTTTTTGTTCTGTGCCTCTGAGACGCAAGCGACGCGCGGATTGGAGTGGAAGTCCCCAACGAGTGGGCGAACCCGAGTATCCGCAAGCAACCCCCTTCTGTTCCAGCAGCCGCTGTTCCCGACACCTGCAGCGGGCGAAGAGACATCGGAAGGCAACGCCACCAACCCGACGGGGCGCTCCAAGAAGATCGTCGTGGCGTGACGGAGCGGGCGGGCGGGAGAGCGAGCGGGAGAGCGAGTGAGTGGGAGAGCGAGTGAGTGGGCGAGTGAGCAGGAGAGCGGGAGAGCAAGTGAGTAAGAGAGCGAGAGAGCGGGAGAGCGAGTGAGCGGGAGAGCGGGAGAGCGAGTGAGTGGGAGAGCGAGTGAGCAGGCGAGCGGGCGAGTGAGTGAGTGAGCGGGTGATCGAGCGATCAAGCGAGTGAGCAGGAGAGCGAGTGAGCGGGAGAGCGAGTGAGCAGGCGAGCGGGCGAGTGAGTGAGTGAGCGGGTGATCGAGCGATCAAGCGAGTGAGCAGGAGAGCGAGTGAGTGGGAGAGCGAGTGAGCAGGCGAGCGGGCGAGTGAGTGAGTGAGCGGGTGATCGAGCGATCAAGCGAGTGAGCAGGAGAGCGAGTGAGTGGGAGAGCGAGTGAGCAGGCGAGCGGGCGAGTGAGTGAGTGAGCGGGTGATCGAGCGATCAAGCGAGTGAGCAGGAGAGCGAGTGAGTGGGAGAGCGAGTGAGCACGCGAGCGGGCGAGTGAGTGAGTGAGCGGGCGATCGAGCGATCAAGCGAGTGAGCAGGAGAGCGAGTGAGCAGGAGAGCGAGTGAGCAGGCGAGCGGGCGAGTGAGTGAGCGGGCGATCGAGCGATCAAGCGAGTGAGTGGGAGAGCGAGTGAGTGGGCGGGAGAGCGATCAAGCGAGTGAGTGGGAGAGCGAGTGAGTGAGCGAGCGAGCGAGCAAGTGAGTGAGCGGGAGAGCGGGCGAGGAGGTACCTGAAGAGGGTCTCCGCCAGCGACAGGCTCTCCCTGCCCAGGTGCTGGTCGTAGCCCAGCTGGTCCAGGCGTTTGCGCAGCCGGGAGTAGCGAGCGTCCCAACTCGTCGGCGTTGTCGGCGGCGTCGTCATCGTTTGCACCTCTCGGCCGTCACCTGGGAGGTCAAAGAGAGCTGGGTGACCGCTAGGAGGTGTTGACGACCTGGCCTGGTACACAGGAGGTCGTGGGTTCGATCCCGACCCTGACGATAACTGCTGCGGCTGAATATTTGGAGCCTGCTTCTCTCTTATCACCATCACGGTGGCTAGGAGATGTTGACTACCTCGCATGGTACACAGGAGGCCCTGGGTTCGATCCCAGCCCTGACGATAGCTGCTGCTGTATATTTGGAGTCTATGTCTCTCTCTCGTCATCATCACGGTGGCTAGAAGATGTTGACTACCTCGCCTGGCATGCTGGAGGTCGTGGGTTCAATCCCGACCTCTGACAATGCCTGACAGTCATTATGAACCTGACAGCCACGAGAGGCAGAGAGAGACTGAGACACAGAGAGACACAGACAGACTACCTCACTACCTCACTCACTACCTCACTCACTACCTCACTCACTCACTACCTCACTCACTACCTCACTCACTCACTACCTCACTCACTACCTCACTACCTGACTCACTACCTGACTCACTACCTCACTCACTACCTCACTCACTACCTCACTCACTACCTCACTCACTACCTCACTCCCTGACTCACTACCTCACTCACTACCTGACTCACTACCTCATTCACTACCTGACTCACTACCTCACTCACTACCTCACTACCTCACTCACTACCTCACTCACTACCTCACTCACTACCTGACTCACTACCTCACTACCTCACTCACTACCTCACTCACTACCTCACTACCTGACTGACTACCTCACTCACTACCTCACTACCTCACTCACTACCTCACTCACTACCTCACTACCTCACTCACTACCTCAGTCACTACCTCACTCACTACCTCACTACCTCACTCACTATCTCACTCACTACCTCACTACCTCACTCACTACCTCACTCACTACCTCACTCACTACCTCACTCACTACCTCACTACCTCACTCACTACCTCATTCACTACCTCACTCACTACCTCTCTACCTCACTCACTACCTCACTCACTACCTCACTCACTACCTCACTCACTACCTAACTACCTCACTCACTACCTCACTCACTACCTCACTCACTCACTACCTCACTCACTACTTCACTCACTCACTACCTCACTCACTACCTCACTACCTCACTCACTACCTCACTCACTACCTCACTCACTACCTCACTCACTCACTACCTCAATCACTCACTATCTCACTCACTACCTCACTCACTACCTCACTCACTACCTCACTCACTACCTCACTCACTCACTACCTCACTCACTACCTCACTCACTACCTCACTCACTACATCACTCCCTACCTCACTACCTCACTCACTACCTCACTCACTACCTCATTCACTACCTCACTCACTCACTCCCTGACTACCTCACTCACTACCTCACTCACTATCTCACTCACTACCTCACTCACTACCTCACTACCTCACTCACTACCTCACTCACTACCTCACTACCTCACTCACTCACTCACTACCTCACTCACTACCTCACTACCTCACTCACTACCTCACTACCTCACTCACTACCTCACTACCTCACTCACTCACTACCTCACTCCCTACCTCACTCCCTACCTCACTCACTACCTCACTCACTACCTCACTCACTCACTACCTCACTCACTACCTCACTCACTCACTACCTCACTCACTACTTCACTACCTCACTCACTACCTCACTCACTACCTCACTCACTCACTACACTACCTCACTCACTCACTCACTACCTCACTCACTACCTCACTCACTATCTCACTACCTCACTCACTACCTCACTCACTACCTCACTACCTCACTCACTCACTCACTACCTCACTCACTACCTCACTCACTACCTCACTCACTACCTCACTCACTCACTCACTACCTCACTCACTACCTCACTCACTACCTCACTCACTACCTCACTCACTCACTACCTCACTCACTACCTCACTCACTCACTCACTACCTCACTCACTACCTCACTCACTACCTCACTCACTCACTACCTCACTCACTACCTCACTCACTCACTACCTCACTCACTCACTCACTACCTCACTCACTACCTCACTCACTACCTCACTCACTCACTACCTCACTCACTACCTCACTACCTCACTACCTCACTCACTCACTACCTCACTCACTACCTCACTCACTACCTCACTCACTACCTCACTACCTCACTCACTCACTACCTCACTCACTACCTCACTCACTACCTCACTCACTACCTCACTCACTACCTCACTCACTACCTCACTCACTCACTACCTCACTCACTACCTCACTCACTCACTACCTCACTCACTACTTCACTACCTCACTACCTCACTCACTACCTCACTCACTACCTCACTACCTCACTCACTACCTCACTCACTACCTCACTACCTCACTCACTCACTACCTCACTCACTACCTCACTCACTACCTCACTCACTCACTACCTCACTCACTACCTCACTCACTCACTCACTACCTCACTCACTACCTCACTCACTACCTCACTCACTCACTACCTCACTCACTACCTCACTCCGCGCTCTCCGCTTACCGCCAAACACCTTCAAATTCGGCGGCACCTCGCCCGCTTAGTCGATTATCGATTCACACTGGCGCTGTATAGATTCTCGATTCCCACCGGGAACTGTATCGACTCTCGAGTCAGACAATGGCTGTATCGTTTCCTTTAAAATAATCGATTCTCGGTCACGTTTCGGCGGTGCCGATTCGATTTTGTTTCACGGATTGATTCCAGCTGTGCCGATTCATGTTTTAACGGATCGATTCGTCCAACGAGGAATGTCGAGGTCGCTAGCCCCCGAGATCCCTCCCTCGATAATGTTAACGGCCGGGCTAGCATCATCAATCGCCCCCCCGCTGCTAAGCGAACCGCTGCTAAGTTCCTCACCCCTGGTGTGGGAGCCGTCGCCCGAGGATTCCCCTCCACCGCGGGTCCGCGTAATGGGCATGGTTAATTACCGATTAGTATTCTTCCCCTCTCTACTACGATACTTCCCTTTCCTAATCGCGCGCCTGCAACCCACACGGAGCGAACGCACGCACGCCCACACACACGCCGCTCCGCGCACTCCAACTCAACTCACGTTATATTCGCGCACCTGTATCACACACGGAGTGAACACACGCGACACCCACTCTCGCACCGCTCTGCGCAGCGCTCCCCCGAGGCGAGCCGCAGCACTACAGAATCACTGCGTACCCACGCGCAACCCGCGCGCTCAGCTCCGCGCAGCGCTCACTCACGTGGCGAACCACTGTGCACACAGCGCACCCACACGCTCACACTGCACGACAAGATCACGCGAGACCACGCTTCGCTATTAATGATTTATTATAGGCCACCTGCGAATTGATGTTGAATCAGTGAGTCGACGAGGCTGGCCTATTCCACTAAACCTGTACCTATTCCCTATTTATCGGCTTACGATACCCTACTTTACCTCCCCACTCACTGTTTGGTGCCCGCGGAGGTTCGCTGCTCTCTGCGCTAACAGCGTACCTCGATGCGTCGCACGGACGTCCGGGTCGCTGGCTGGAACTCCTGCTGGTCCGCTGGCCTGGAGAGAAGGGGCGATTTCCCCTCTCCGCTCCTCTATTTATCCTCCCTACCTCAAAGGGGATGCTGCGCTGAACAATGGGCTCGTGCACCCCAAGCCCGTGCACGGCGGTTCCCCGGGCGCTGTTGATATGCTAATCAGTGAGCGACGTTGGCGGCGTACATCCTAATTACTCCCTTACCCTTCCTAACAATGGGGCCTGCGCGCTCCAGCGCAATTATCCCAACCCCCCATGACTATGCGCAACAGCCCCTGTGACCCCGCTATTCATGCTGTCCCGTGCCTCCCCTGCTTGCCCCGTCGACCCGTGGGAGTGTGTGTGGGGGGAAAATGCGCCTCAACCGCGGTGGCCGAATGCCCCACGCCGCGACCACACCATATTAAGGCCGGCCGCGGCGCCGCGGTGCCACGTAGCACGGGGGGGGGGTCATCCAATTCCCTGATCGCCGGAAACCGTGAGAATTAATCCCGATAAGGGTCTCTCGGATAAAAACCGGTCGATCAGGTGACCTTCCCTTCCAGCTCTATGGGGGGGGGGGAATGCGTGCGGGTGTGTGCTTATGTGGGGCGGGTGATGGGGGGCAGTGCGGTGGGGGAAGCCGGGCGGCTCCCTGGTTCGGCAGAGCGGCCCCGTCGTTGTGGCACCACATAGCCCCCCGGGGTGCCAGTCCCCGTCCCGGGTTGACTGGAGCACCTCGCCTGGGTTGCCCCCACGAGGTATCGCCGCGGGGTCCGCGGGATTCGCCCGGCCCTTGTGGCTGGCCTCGGGGGTGGCGGCTCCGTCTCCTGGGGCTCCGGCGGTGGTCTCCTCCTCCATTCCAACGGCTCCCCTCGGCCTCTGGCACCTGCGGGCTGGGGAACAAACTCAGAGGCGGTGGGGTTTAAGGGTCGCCGTCCTCGTCGCCCCCGGCCCCGCCCGGGGCCCCTCGGAGCCCGGGGCTCCGTGGGGCCCATGTACTGCGCGAGGCCCCCGGGCACGGGGGGTGGGGGGACCCCGGGGTTTCGGGGTACTTGGACGGCGGGGCTCCCCCCCTCGGGGGCTGCTCGCCACGGCTTCAGTCGGCGGATGTTGACCACCATCTCCCGGCCCCTCTCTCCTCCCTGAATCAGCACCGTCCATGGTGAGATCTGCCGTCTCACAATCCAGGGTCCTCGCCAGTAGGTGGTCAGCTTCCCCACCTGTCCGGCACCGACGCGGGGAGTGTACAGCCACACCTCGGAGCCCGCAGTGTAGAAGGGGGGCTCCATACGGGGTCGGGCGCCCTGCTCTTGCCGCTGGTGCGCGGCCTCTCCGTGCGGGTAGGCTCGGCCCCTGGCCCCTCGCAGGGTCTCCAGCAAGTGCTCCACGGGGTGGCTCCCTTCCTCCCATTGCGGCGGAGGAACACCGAACAGCAGATCTGCGGGCAGGCGAGACTCGCGACCAAACATCATTAGGAACGGGGTCTGTCCTGTAGAGGTGTGAACGGCGGTGGTGTAGGCGAACAGGGCATAGGGAAGGTGTTCGTCCCAGTCCTGTTGATTCGCGGCCGCCATGCGTTTAAGCTTCCCGGCCAGAGTCTGGTTCATCCTCTCTACCATCCCGTTCGCCTGGGGGTGATACGCCGTGGTTCGGTCCTTCTGGATCCCGAACTCTCGGCACAGCGCCTGAAATAGTTCGGCCTCGAATTCACTACCCTGGTCGGTAATGACTCGTTCGGGGATCCCGCACTTAAGTACGTAGTTTTCCACGAAGGCCCGGGCCACTACGAGGGCTGTTTTATCCGGGATAGCCACCGCCACGGGGTAGCGGGTGAAGTATTCCACCGCTACGAGAATATATCGGTTGCCCCGGTGGGATCGTGGAAAGGGCCCCTGCAGGTCGATTCCGACCAACTGATTCGTCCGACTGACTCGGAACGGCCTCAGGGGTACCTGGTACCTCGCCGGCTTTTGCCCACACTGCTGACAGGCCCGGCAGCCCTGCACCCAGGCGGCCACATCTTGTGCCAATTTGGGCCAGAGATACTGGCGACGCAGGGTCTCTCGAGTGCGTCGTTCCCCATCGTGGCCCCCGAGTGGGTGGTCATGCACCAGCCGTAGCAGCTGGGGTCGCACCTGGGCAGGAACACAGATGCACCCCGGCTGGCCGGCCTCGGTTAACTCCCGTACCACTCCGTTCCGCACACACAACCGGGCATACACACCGCTCCAGGGTCCTGGTAGGGCGCTCTTTTCCTCCCGCAGTGCCGCCTCCACTGCCGCCAGATCCGGATCTCGCTGCTGGGTCTGTCTCAGCTGCTCGTCGTTTAAGCCCGGGAAGGCGCAGCCGACGTCCTCCTGGATCCGTCCGATCGGGTCCCGAGCCGCGGGTCCCGCGCTTGCCGGGCGGTCGACGGGATCCTCAGTGCCACCTGTGAGGGTTTCTGTGGCGCACACTGCACTCTCTCTCGCTGGGGGGGGGTCAGTGGCCGCGGCCTCTCGGGGGTCCGTTGCCCGCCGGCAGCGTCCCCCCGTGAAACACGGGCAGGCCTCCTCCGCCCTCGTCTCGGCGTACACCGTGGGTCGCCTCGACAAGGCGTCCGCGTTTGCATGCGTCCGGCCAGCCCGATACTCGATTTGCAGGTTGTACTCCTGCAACTGCGCCAACCACCGGGCCATCTGCCCCCGCGGCTCCTTGAATGTAAGAAGAAACTGCAGAGCATAATGGTCAGTGCGTACGCGACATTTCCTGCCGTACAAATACGGCCGGAACTGTTTGCATGCGAAAATCACGGCGTACAACTCTTGGCGGGTCACGCAATAGTTCAGCTCGGCCCCACTCAAGGTCCGGCTGGCGTACGCGATGACTCGTTCCGTCCCATCCTGTACCTGTGACAACACCGCGCCCAGCCCGCTGCTGCAGGCGTCGGTGTCCAAAATAAAATCGGTGGTAAAATCGGGGAAAGCGAGGGTGGGGGCGTGGGTGAGGTGGTCTTTGAGAGTGGTGAAGGCCGTCTGGCAGGCCCCCGTCCACTGGTAGGGGTGCTTAGGGGAGGTGAGTTGGGTGAGGGGGCGTGCAATCTCGCTGAATCCCTTTACAAATCGACGATAATAGGTGGCGAGCCCCAAAAATGATCTGATCTCCGTCAGATTCCTTGGCCGTGGCCACTCCACTACGGCGCGTACCTTCTCCGGATCGGTGCGCACGCCTGCCTCGCTGACGCGATGCCCGAGGTACCCCACCTCGCGTTGTGCGATGTAACACTTACGTGGCTTGAGCTTGAGATGAGCCGCTCGCAGTCGCTGGAACACCTCTCGAAGCCTGGACCAATGCTCAGACAAAGATCTACTGAACACTATCACATCGTCCAAGTAAATCAGGCACTGTTCCCACTGCAAGCCCCGCATCACCAACTCCATCAACCGCTGGAACGTCGCGGGCGCGTTAGTGAGTCCGAACGGCAACACGCGAAACTCAAACAGGCCCATCGGGGTGGTGAATGCTGTTTTTGGCCGATCCTCCTCCGTCATCTCCACCTGCCAGTAACCGGACGCCAGATCGAGGGTGGAAAAATACCGCGCTCCTGCGAGACTGTCGAAGGTGTCGTCGATGCGAGGTATGGGGAAGGCATCGCCGAGCGTGACTGCGTTTAGTTTACGGTAATCGACGCAGAACCGGGTTGACCCATCCTTTTTCGTTACTAGTACCACCGGGGCTGACCAGGGGCTCGCCGAGGGCTGAATTATGTTATCGCGAAGCATGTCCCCAACTGCCTCTTTGATTTGGGCGCGTTCGGGTGCGCCCACTCGGTACGCAGGGAGTTTGATGGGTCGGGCTGCACCGGTGTCAATTTGATGCTTAACAAGGTCGGTCCGACCCACGTCCGAGTCGTGTTCGCTGAACACGTCGGCATACTCCCGCAGTAACTCGCGCAGCCGATCGGCCTCTCCCTTAGGTAAGTCCGCCCATGGTACATGTAACGCGTCGAGCAGGGGAACGACCTCGGCTCGGGGAGTCGGGCCGACTCGCCAGGCCAGGTCCTGCTCACCCTCAGGACGACCGGGGTCCTCAGCCCAGAGTGCGAACACCGAGTCGTG